TGTGACTTGGCAGAGCGCCATTGTTATTTTGCCCTGATCTGTAACTAAAGTTACAGATCAGGGCAAAATAATAATGGCGCTCTGCGCTGTTAGTCCAAGTATAGAATAAAAGAAGCAGATCAATTGTTAACCTGCAAAGGAGCAATTATTATTGATCTAAAACCCAACATTCGCATTAAACTAGTATAGGCAGTGGAGATTTACATTTTTATTTAAAGATTTCTGTGGAATGACAGTCTACTTTACTAATAAAACACATAATTGGGATGGTAGGGATAAAAAGGTTATCAATAGCAGCAACCAGCTTTAATTAATCTAATAAATATTCAGATGAAAGTATTTATCAATAGATTTTATTGACCCAACTGTATAAAAGTCGCCACAGGCAGCCCATTTGTTTCACCCCTCAACTCACCGTTGACCACAGCTAGAAAACTGGAGCTGAGTGTCTCCAAGTGGGTGGAACAAAATGAGCCAAAATCATAAATATGTTTGGTGCAACAAGTGCTGCAGTGGGAGCAGGACCGTCAGCATGAGACACTGAAGCAGTCCTATTGAGTGAGCAGAGCAGACTGTGCTGGGGTGATAAACAGCAGTAAAAAGGTTGGATTCAGAGGAGAAGAGAGGTGTGACCAAGTGGGGATAGAGAGGGAGGTCAGAATAGCTTTAAGAGTCCAGTAAGAAGAAGCTGAAAATGTTTGAACTGCCAGATTGAAATAAGAACCAAGTTAATGTTTGTCTCTAAGGAAAGTTTTCACAACTACAGCAGCAATGCCAAAGGATGGGGGTTAAAACATGGATACAGTAATAAGGAGACAACATGTGTCTAAATTATGTTCAATTTAATGCAAAAGAAATATTTTATGCAAGGACAATGGAGGGTGCCTCATTTTAAGGCTGTGTTTGGAGTTAATACTTTATTATAGTAAAAATATAGTGCGACAATTAATTCAGGCAGACAACATAGTTCCAACACCTAATTTATAAAAAAAGATTTAAAAAATGCATTTTTCAGTTGCTGATTGTTTGTCTCCCTCCCAGCACAGGCCAGGATGCGTTTTTATCTGTGGGAGTGGAACGGGACAGATATTCACTTCTTTGTGATTCTCTAATAGGGAAACGTAGATAACTAGGATAAAACAACACGTCCCTATTATTGTAGCAGTTAAAAGCCTGTGGAGGAGCTCAGTTTGCTCTGATCCGTTTGCTTTCTGCTAACTTAGAAATCTGTCTCTATTATATGTGCTGCAGCTTTCCCTGAAGTCAAACAACTGGGAATTTTGACCTGAGCACAGCGAAAGCTTCACTGAGCAGCATGCACCTCCACCCAGAGGTGTAAGATCTGCTTGAGTTCACTTTTCTCAGTACAACACAAGAGTGTGCATAAAATAAATTGAGGAGCACAGCTGAGCTGATCCTGCTTTCTATGCAAGCACGGTTTAACCTTAAAACCTAAAAGGTAAAAAAGGCACAGATACCTCAAACACTGTATTTGGGTTTAGTTTTGAAATGTTTCCTTGCAGAGACCATCTGTGGTGGAATTGGACTTCCAAATGAAGGATAAAAAAAAAGTGAAGTTTGAGAAAAAATGTCTACATGTAGAATCCTAATGCATCCATTAAGACCAAGTGTAACCCCTTGCTTCCCTTGGATGTGGAAGCAGTGCGTTAGAACTGCGGCGCAGCCCTGTATTTGCATCCGATTGCTGCGACAGTAGTCGGTCAGGGTGCTTCCACTGGGTGCACCTCAGTGCGTTTCTGAAGCATCCCGATTCAGAGGCAGTTTCTCTAAAATACAAAGATGTTCTATTTTTGTCGTTTGCTGCACAAGCTCGATTTACATCTAGAGCAGAGCGGATTATTCAGAAAATCCAGGTGGATCCAAGGAAAAGACTGTAGATTTTTGCTTACATTCCAAAATTTTGTCAATCAACATACATATTAAATTTGAGATGTGAAGTTTCAGTTATGAACCTAAATTTCTTTTCTCATTGTTTTGCTATGTTCAGAAATGACTTTAGAAAAAAATAAACAAACAAATGTAAATAGCGATTATAATATTTGTACTTTTTCTGTTGTGTCCACAGGTCCAAAGGAAACTGAAAACTTAATTGTCTATATTACTCACGTAAAGAGCTCCCCCATAGGGATGCCGCCATCATGAAGCATAGGTGTAATAAGCTCTGCTAGGTAGAGCCAGATGTGGGGTATATCTATGGCCATGTCCTCTGCTACTTCCAGGATCTCCAGTAGCCTAAAACAGAACAGACAGAACTTGTTGCCTTCACATCTGGAATTTAAACTCTGTTTCTGTTAAGACAACAGTATGACCTCTGCTCACCCTTTATAGTACTGCTGTACAGGCATTGTCCCTGCCTCTACGAGTTGGTGTAACAATAATCCCATGCGCACCCTAGCAATGGTGCTGCGTTCAAGCGTCGACTCAAGGCCAACGCGCACAAATATGTACAGTAGTGAGGCACTTTTGAGCTCTGTCACACACTGCAGCGCCTCCTACAGATCAAGAAGGAAAAAAAAAAATCAGATATGGAAAACAAAATCATATCTGTAACCATAACAAAATAATAAGACTGACTACACATAGCTGTACCTTGATGTCATTGATGTGGAGGTACTCTTCAATAATGGCATTGGACTTTTTCTCCACCTCTTCCTCTGTCATGGAAGGTTTGGGAAGAGAAGCAGGAACATTTTCACGCTTGACTGTAGAAAAAAAAAAAAAAAAAAAAAGGTGGAAATAAGTAAAGTTTCAACATTAAACAATGTGTTATTCTTAATTTCAATGTTGTCCTTGTTCCTTAATATTGATACCTGGGAGGTCTTTGCTTGGACCAGTCTCCCGGCTACCCTGGTCCCGGCTTCCTCGATCCCTACCACCTTGATCTCTGCTTCCTCGGTCCCTACTGCCTTGATCTCTGCCTCCTCGGTCCCTGCTTCCTCGGTCATGACCTCCTCTATCTCGACTTCCTCGGTCTCTGCTTCCTCTGTCTCGATTGTCCGTCATGCTGGCAACGCGCCGCACAGGTTCTGTTGAGCCCCGGCTGTCTCCGCCCCTTCCACCGCGCTCCTGTGATTCTCTGCTGAAGCTCCTCTTGGAAAACTGGTTCCCATCCTGTCTCTCACTGCGAGCAAATCGGTCATAGCGATCTCTGTCGTGGTCATTTCTGTCTCTGTCACCACCACGTTCCCGACTGGCGCTCGACCTAAAAGGCATAAATTAATACATCATAAATAATAGAACTGTACATTTATTAAGAGCATTTCATAAAAAAAATTAAATGACTTCTAGCAAGAAATTGGATTTTAAAGGAAAGTAAAGCAAAGAAAGAATTTTAGGGAGGAATGTACCTCTGAGGAACTCGTCGATCAGTGTCTGTTGATGACATTGAACCAGACTGCTGCAGTGCTGAGAATCGGTTCACAGTGCTAGTGGCTGGACGCCCAGAGTCTTTACAAAAGAAGAGGGAAGAAGAAAAACAATTTGGGGTAAAAACCTGTAAACTCAGAATTCAGGGTTCTATAAAGATAAGTGGTTTACCCTGATCTCCACCAGCTGGTTTAGCCCCACTTCCTCCACTGCTGCCCTTTCCCCAGCTACCCCACATCCCTTTCCCATCCGGAGCAAGTCGCTGATTGTTGAAGTCCATGGCCCCGGGCTGTAGGAAAACAAACATGTCACATTTAGAAAGAGAAGCTTCTTAAAACTTCAATTATGGAAATAACTGAAATTCCAAGAATGGAATATCAAAGTCAAGTGTACAGATTTAGATTTCACCTTCGTAATTTTGCTGAGGCGGGTGATGTCAATAGGTCGATTCTTGGAGATGGGCACTGTGTTCCAGCCCTCGTCTTGGGGCTGGTTAACCCGGCCCCTTGCTGGGGTATGTGGACCACGGCTTTCCTTCCTTGACAGGAGCTGCTGCTGGACTTTGATCTGTTCCCTGTGCTCTTCCATCTCTGCCTCTTTGTGGATCTGGTCGATCGTTTTAGGACCCTGGTCTCCTCTACGAGGAACCCAGTTATTCTGAGAATCAGAGAAGGAAAAGAAGATCAGTACCAGCATCACTCATGAGCTAATTTACTGCTATAGGAATTACCATTTACCTTTCTGAGGTCCAAAACGTCTTGCAGCATGAAGCGGATTCTGGAAGATGTCTTCCTCTCTTTGATGATCTTGTCCATCTGGTTGAAATACTGATCCATGCGAGGCTGAAGAAAAAAAAAATTAGCTATTAGATGCCCCGGTTCCTAAAGCAAAAGCAAACATTTTTTTATACGAATCCTAAAATTATTTATACCCCTTACTTTCTCACAATTATCCTTTAACAACCTCAGACTTAATAACAATGTATTTTATCTGGGATTTATGTCATTGAGCAACACAAAGTAGCACAATATTTTCCAAGTGTCAGATAAACACTACTGTCAAACTTATTTGATGCTAAAAATCCAAACTGAAAAGCATGGCTTATATTTCTAATAACCTTGCCCAGCTGAATCTTTCATAGAACCATCTTCCACAAAATCTACATCTGTGAGTCTTTGTATATCTACAGACAAGAAATCTGAACTGGATCAAACCTTTGCACAGATTCTCATTGAAATTTATCTCTGGACCCAACTCCATTTACTCGTAGACTTTCACTAGCTTTTCTGTTCCTGCTGAAGAGACACATCCCCGTAACATGATGCTGCAATCTCTGTTTTGTTTAGAAAGCCGAAAACGGGTACCTGTGTACACTTATGAAAATTACTTTGCTTCTAACCATAAACTTTGATGTAGGCAGAAAATATTGGAACTGTCATAACGCCATTATTAAACAATTATATTGCTATTTATACAGATTAAGAATTATTGTCTGTCCCTAATTCTGCACCACTTTGTGTTGGTCATTTGCATAAAATACCCCAAAAAATAAATTGAACCGAGTCAGAGCTGAAGGGGTACGAATAACTTCAGTAAAAAATAAAAATGCATGTCCTCTCAGTTCCTCAATCCATCATAAGAATCAGTGGCCCAGACACGTGGCACAAAGATATAGTCATCACAGAAGACCGTTTCATATCACTCACTCTCTCACATGTGCGTCTAACCTACTTACCTTGGCCTTCTCAAAGTCCAGGTCTTTGCCAATTGTGGAAAGCAGTCTGCAGAGACACTCGAGAGATTCTTCATCATGGTTCTTCAGTAGTTTGACCACACAGTCATGCATGATGGCCTCTGTCAGCATCTTCAGCTTGAAGAGCTCACCGATAAACTTAATGTTACCCAGTGAGCGCCTTCGAGCTTTGTCTCTGGACTCTTCCAGCGCAACCCTCAAAGTCTCACGCTCCTCATCCTGCAGAGAAAACAAGAAATGTATCCTTGTCACAGTCACATGATCATTTTAGTCCAAAACCTTCAATGGAGAGGAAAAAAGACAAACATATCATACATTCTTTGAAGCTTCCATCTCTTTCTGCTTTCTCTCAAAAATCTCATCGTCATCTTGGTCCTTTTCAAACTCTTTCTGGCAGCGGTTAAGCAGAATTTTGCGGAAGTTCACAAAGTTTCCAGGTTTATCTGGGATGGGCACTCTCAGCTGGAAAGGGACAACAATGATGCACAGTGTTACTAGATTTTTATTCAATCATAATGTGAGAGAACATTTAGATGGAAAGCTACTTTTTGCTCATTCAGTTCCTCAAAGCCATCATGAGCTTTCAGTGGCCCAGACACGTGGCACAAAACTCGAGTCATCATTAGAGCAGTGAGAGTGAGGACAGCACACCATGACTCACCCCTATAAGGCAGCGGCACATGTTGGCGTAGGCTACAGCAAAGTTGGGTTCTGAGATGGCCTTCTCAAAGATGAGATCAATGGTTCCCTTCAGCCTCTCTTCTGTGTCTATCGTCAGGTCCATCACTTGCTTCATCAGCTCCTGGAACTTCTGTGGGGTGAGCTTGTTCAGAATGCTGCGCAGACGCTTAAACACCTCTTGAGTCTTTTTCTGCTCAGCGTCAGTCTCTTCAGATTTGCCGTCTTCTGACTTCAAGGTAGAGGGTTTCCAGGCGTTAGCAGCCTTGTTGAGCTGCACATTGTCGGTAAGAGACCTGCTGTTGATGATGATGATTTTTTTGGGCTCTTTTCGCATACCTTGCTGGGAGCGATGTGACCCAGAGGACTAAAAGCATAAAAGAAGACATTCCAACAATTATTTTACTTTTTTTTTAATTAAAGACAACTTAAATGATAGAAAACAAAAGTAGGAAGATGTGAATTTAAATAACCTGTGGTCGTTGTCCTACCGATTTGCTTCCAAGACCCCCCAAAAATGTAGGAGTGAAATCAGGACCCGTATTCATCAATCTACTTGGATCAATGGGCCGCAATGGAGTCTTGTTTACCTGGAAACGTAAATAGACTTGTGTCTTTCACAAAACATTCTGCACTTTAAAAAATTAAAGAAAAAAGGTCAGTTTATAAATATTAATTTCATGTCATGTGTGCCATCCAATGCAGATCATTGGCACCATCCACATCTAGTAAAAACTAGTGCAATTGGATGAGTTATATAACGCAAACACTCATTGGTTAGCTAAGGGAAATCATCAGAAGCAAGCAGGTGTTCTTTAAACTGCAAACATGAATTATCTATGCCATGCTACAATGATGGATTCAGAAAAAGATGTTGAAATGTCTGAAAGGTCGGACACAGGCGAGAGCATATCCGCAAATGGAGACCAACAAGACCTCCCTCATCCTTGGCCTTATGTTAAAAGTATTTTTAGAAATAATCGAAAAATTGAGCTTTGAATTCATATACCGACATCTGGCTGTTTTTATTAAAGGTTACTTTATACTTTAAGTAGTTTTTTGGAGCTCATACTTTTTCACTTTTACTTGAGTAAAGAGGTCAAGTTGATACTTCAACTTTTACCAGAGTGTTTTTTAAACTGCAGTATCTATACTTCTACTTAAGTAACAAATGTGTGTACTTTTGACAACACTGTATATATCAAAATCAGTGTATTTGCACTTCATTTAAGCAGTTAATCAGAGGATCTCCCAATAGAATGACTATTTCTGCCTTTAAAATAAGATGATTAGATATTATGCACTGGGAATAAGGTAGAGTTGTTTTTCCTCATTTTACACATATTTTATTCCACTGGCAAATGGTCTTACATTTTCAAAAAAAGCAATATACATTTTTAAGTAGTTGGTTTTATCTATCTTTAAATGAGGCTCTAATATCAATGTCTATTATTTTATTATTTGTTATCGTAGTTGATCTCAGCACCCTATACTGGTTGAAAACTTTGATCAAACATGTACTTTAAAAAGATTTTAGTTATCCTGATCTTCCCACAGTAAAGCCACAGCTCACCTCATCCAAGACCACATCACTGATGACAGGTAGACCCTCAGGTTTATGCATACTGGCACTGCTAAACTGGAAGCGTAACAGGAACTCTCGGTCATATCGCTTCTTTGCTTCTGGGTCTATTGGCTCCCATTGGTCTGAGAAAAAAAAAAACATTTGAAATACATTCATGAACCTGCTCTGTGTGCACGCTTTAACTTTCAAACAAGGATTTTAATGCTAATAGTGAGAAAAGTGTTGCTTAAAATAGGATAAAACAAATGGGAAGTCTTCACTTACGACTTATAGTAAAATCTTTTTCAGCAATGACAAAAACATCAAATGTTTTAACTGCATTAATTTGTTTGTGGCTGTCAAACAGCTATTTGACACAGACTTCAGTTTTCTGATACTTTTATGAAATTATTTTAGTCCAGTCACAAGCAACTGAAATGAACATCAAGACTAAAGCATTGTGAGAAAATATTTCAGATCATCTTTGAACAATTTCTTTCTATAAAAAGTTAGTTTTAAAAAAATATAATCCAAGTATTTTTGATTATTTCAACATCATCAAAACAATTTTCTAGAAAGTCTCATGAATGCTTAAAAACATAACTAACTTTCTTTGAACTGATATTTCTCCTCAGCTGGCTCAAGTGTTGATTTAGGTTTGTCTGGTTCTGCGTTCTGCTTGTCCTCTTTTTCTTCCCAGGTCTCCTCCACAGCTTCAGCAGGAGGTTCAGTTGGAGCTGGAGGGCTGACCTGAACCACTGATGGTTCAGGAACAGGCTTGGCATCCGGCTCCTGCTAACATAATGTTTAAGCCCGATTACAATAGTGATCGGCATGAATGCTGACCTGCTCTTAAACCAACTGTGTTTCTGCTCACCTCTTTGAAGGCATCCAGGATGTCCCCAGTGGCTTTTTTGTTTAGCTCTTTCATGTTCTTCTTCTTCTTTGGCACAGACGTAGCTGCTGGCAACAGAGGAAATGTTATTTTTATTAACAGAAAAAAGAAAATACATTTTAAAATACATTACTTTATAAAGTGGGTCATTCCCCTCAATACTGAATGCATTAACCATTTTCTCTCAATCTGTCCCACATAGAAGATCTAATTTAGGAATAAAATGGACTAAAGTAGCGCAGCTATCTACCTACTTATTAGAAAATAAAGGTCCAATACAGCCTGGAGGAAAAATCTGATGCCGTTTCATTGTAAATCAGGGCCACAATAGTTGAAATGCCCTCTTCAAACAAAGCAAACTTGAGCAGTCTAAGAACATAACCAAGAGATGCTTTAATTCCCATTTGCTCTACAGAATCACTTAAATTCTGTATTGTTGCAGAGAAACACCAGAACCAAATGTTATGGGTTTCAATATATAATAAACACCTGAGGCACATAGAACTCAGTGTTTCCCCAACTACCCTTGTCCAGTGGGTGGAGTGTGCCCAACGAATGAGCCCATCCTTGTTTAGAAGGTAAAATTTGACAATGTGGACAAAAATATGCAAGATCTAAAAACTATGAAAATTGATCAGTAAAAAAAATTCTGCAAGACTGCGTGCTGATAATCTATGGACTTATATACGATTATAGAAGACAATAGATACTTACATAATAAGCGCATATATATATATATATATATATATATATATATATAAATAAAAATAAAGAAAGAAATATCTTTAAGTTCTGTTGTCAGCCCCCCCTATTTACATTATTTTAAGCCATGAACCAGTTGAACTTATGACCTGCTATGATGTTCATAGCATCAACCACTAACCACTAAATGTTCAGCTATAGAAAACGATCAGCACCACTGAAATCTCTCTAGAGAACATTCCCTCAGTGTGGGGGGCAGTTCTGGAAAAAGAGGATCTGACCCACAGTCAACCGAAACAATGTGTTAGTGGCTTCCTACAGGCTGCATGGACCATCATCTCCAATAGTGTACATAGTAAAGCAAGTAGCATCCCTATGCATTGATTAATTACCCTAAATCCTTTGCTCTGTGTGAGATCAAAATAAGCAGGCACCAACCATACCACTAAATGACATTTCTCCATGTTGCTAGACCTAACAAGCTTTTAGTTCAACTCCAACTCTGATAGCAAATTTATTCAAGTGAGAAAGGAGTTAACCTATTTTTGCTGGTGGACACCTTTAAGCTGTATGTTAACACCAAACATAGGGATGAGATATGAGTGATACCTCACCTTGCATAGTAGTTTCCTCTGGGCAGGTAGCAGAGGGTGGAGGGGCATCTTCAGTTTTTTTCTTCTGCGGCCGCTCTTCCTCCCTCGTTTCCTCCTCTTCCTCCTTCTGTGCTGGTGTTGCCGCTTTAGCCACAGGTGTGGATTCCTGAGATTGAGAAGGGTCTGGTTTGTCCTGGGATGTAGTGTCAGTAACTGGGACATCTTCAGAGAGTTCTCCAGACTCCTGAGGGAGGCCATTGAAGAGAGGAGGCTCCATCAGGTTAACTGGTGTCACTTCTGGTTCAGAGCTCTGGACCAGGCTCTGGGTCTCTGGAGCAGCAGGTTCTGGTAAAGTGGGGGGCGGGGGGACTTCGACTGACGGTTCTAAAGGAGTAACCTCCTTCGCAGTCCCCATGGGGGCTGCTGCAACTTCAATGGGAGGCTCCAACTTGGGGGTGGGCGTCCACCCCTCTTTTTCCAGTTTAACTTCTGGTTTGACATCTTCCTGTTCAGCTTCCTTTTCAGATGGAGCAGCCTGTGGCTCCTCTGTCTTTACAGGAATCTCTTGTGTTACCAGTGAAGCCGAGGGTTTGACCGGAGCATCGACTGTGTCACCTGCATTAGTGCTAACTGCATTTGCTGCTTCAGCAATACTACTGGTAGCTGCTGCTGATGGGAGGGCAGGCGGAGACTGACGCTCCTTTATTGACGGGGATGGGGAAAGTCTCTCAGTAGCAGCTGTAGTGGCCACAGACACAGTATCCAGTTCAGCCGGAGGAGGAGTAAGCTGTCTGTTTACTTCCTCTTTGGCCTCAAACACAGGCTCAGTGTTTACTGGAGCAGAAGGTGGAGGGCTTTCAATGGAAGCAGAAGGCTCCACATGTTCATCTGGTGAGTGTAAAAAATGCAGAAAAATAAGCACAGAGCCAACTCATCTGAAAATCCAATCTGGCTATATTTTCTCACCTCTTGTCACTGCAGCAACAGGCTGTACAACTTCACCATTGGTCTGGGCAATACTTGGTTCAGTTACAGATGCCTGAAAACACAAACAGAAGTGTTTCTGAAGCACAGAGTAAAAGAAAAAACATCTTTGTCCAACAAAAGGTCTGGATTTTACTGGGAACATTTATGCTTGCTTATCCCATACAAGCTCTATAGCCTTGCATGAAACTTCAAGTTAGGCCATTCACCAA